TTGGTACTCCATTCTTCAACAAACAGTTCCATAGTGCAGTCCTATCAACAGAATCAAAGGCCGCGCGAATGTCTAAGAACGCGATGATCGTTACTCAACGGTAAGCATGACGGTGCTCAATCAACTGTCGGAGGATGATATGATCGATGCAGCCACGACCGGCTCGAAACAGCCTACTCCTCACGGGCATGTTCCTCGCGCGTTTTGTACAATCTACGAAGAATGACTGGCGCTAACAGCTTTGACGCTATTGTGATCAGGCTCATACCCGTGTGGTTGGCGCAATCATTGCGCGGACCCTTTTTAAAGATGAGGACGACTATCGACTCCCCTCACAAGGAGGGGACCTGCTCAGTGTTCCAAACTTAAGAGAACAGAACTTGTAGTTCTCTAACAAGATTTATTCCACCATCTTTAAATAGAGCTTAGGGAAGGCCATCGGAGCCCGGCTCTTTGTGACGTCCCAAGGCTTGGATCTCCTTACGGATTTCCGCCTCAGAAGGTGGGTCTGTTGAGACAGACCATGGGACGTGTGCCGGAATAGCTGTGTGAGAAGCTGGCGCGGGTTGCCAGCTAAATTGTGCTTTGAAGTGCTCCGCCTAGCGTTCAAGACGTCGCTGTTGATTATGAATAAGTGAGCCGTCAGCTTCATAGATCGTCTCGCTCTCACCCAAGGCTTTCCTACCGGTGACTCGGATGAGATGAAACAGCTTACGGGAATTTCCCATGGCGGCAGTACGTTCCATCTCTGACGCGCGTTGAGACCACCAGACCTCGCGATCTCTGCGTAGGCTTAAGTTAAGTTCGCGTCTCATTACAATCCGTGTTACGTTATGCTCACTGCCGGTCGGAAGTGACCGACGTGCGTCAAGAAGACTCAGAAACTCAGCGGAAATCCATGGTGTCACGACACGCCGTGTCAGACCACAACTAACTATGCCAGCAGAATGCACAGCATTCTTGATAAGTGACCAGTGCTCACTGACGTTATCAGCTAGCGCGTTTTGAAAGACGGCTAGACATGCTAGTTGACACAACTAATCGCAGTCTAACCGCCGCTGTCGTACTTTTAGGACGCCCACCGAAGCATATGGACAGCTTGATGCAAACTAACGTGTGATCGGATTCGAGGGTAGTGCTCCAGTACGATCGGCAGTCTTGTATACAACCCCGCCATTTGTAGCTTATAGCGATGTGGTTGATCTGCGTCTGTATCTGACTCGAGGAGGGCGAATGCTAAGTGGCATACCGGCAGTTTGAGCACCTGAAATTGGTACTGGCGAGGAATAGGCGGTGGTCGGAACATAGAGCCAACAAACTTTCCCCGTTCTCCGAGCGACAGGAATCTAGTCCGAAAGGACTTCCCAGATGCGCCTCACTCGAAGTCAGTCGGCCTACCCTAGTATTCTTATCTCCCGCTCAAATCACGATATCAGCCCGATTTGCTTTACACAAGAGGTCGTGTAGGTTATGATAAAATTCATCTTTGACTGCATCTGGGCTGCAGTCCGTTGGGGCGTACGCCGACACGACAAACAAGTTTCGTCTATCGGGCGACGGCTGTTTACTTTACACGCACCTCTAAGTTTCACTGCGCACAACCTACTGTCGACTGAGAACCAGTCCAGGAGCGCGGCTTCAGCTCTCTCACTGAGAGTCATACCAACGCTAGCAAGATCGGAAGCCGCACCCTCAGGGTCCCCAGAGATGCGTCAGTGAAACTTCACTGATGGGTTTGATGGGGACGTCAATCGGATCATGGAGCTGGAGTCGTGAATGCGAATCTCCTGGATACAACACATCGATGGTTAGGGTCTCGAGCATACGAGATAAACCGGCCTGTTGGTCTATACGCATCAGAGTGCGCACAATAAATGTGACTAGTTTGAATGGGCATCGAGGACGAAGAAGAGCTTCAACTGATGGTGGAAAATTTGGTGAGACTTGGACCCTATTCGAGGCGGGATGCGAGAGTAAAGGGACGGAATTTCCATCGGAGGTATAACTGGTTGTACGGTTATCTGAAGATCTTGATAATAATGGGAATGTTTGACGGGGGTGAATGTGAGGTGTAGGAAAAGATGAAAGAAAGGAAGATGTGCACGTTGTAAAGCGTTTTTTCATGCCCGAGAACTTAAAGAGCGAGTTATTGATTAAGCTGAAATTCATTGTTTGCGTTGTGGGCTATTGTACTACTCGGTCACCTAGTCCAGAGCAAGCCTTGTTCGAGGATGCGATCTAGCCTTTACGCAACCAAGTGCGAGCTACAAGGCAGCAGCATTGTTCCAGATAAGCCGGTGACCGGTCGGTTGATTCATTCGCCTTCTCTGGAAGACCTTGTCGGGTTGATGGAATTCGACAAGGGGGCAATGGCCGTATTCAGTTGCGGGCCACACTCACCACGTCACAGCGCTGTCATAAGATACATGTGATGTTTTGTGTGGAGAACCCTTGCCAAGTGGTAAACCCACCACATCCTGGAGCACTGCCGCTGGTCGTCCACGACCGCTTATTCAGTGAGAATAAACCCACCTTATTCTCAGTTAACTGCCAGTTAGCGGCCGTTCCCCTATCCGCGACCTGGGGACGCGCTCGGTAGTATACAGCTCTGCTCTTTCCTGGTCAATAATTGCGATCAGACTATTGAACGGTTTTGAATGCCGAAGGAACGATAGCAAAAGTCAAATTTGATTTGTGATTTGTCTTCTTCAATATTCATGTGGTACTGTCATGATGTTATCGTTTCGGTCTATATAGTTTATCAGGTCCAGTTTAACAATGCAGAAAACAGATTCACAGCAGTAGTGATTTTTCCTCATGCATTTGGATAGTTTACCATTGTTTGTTTCCAACAGTTTGCTCTGCTTCACTCTCTCATATCTTTAACTTTGACAGGCCTCACATGGAAAGGAAGCCAGCAAGCGTCGAAGCGTGCTCATAGGACAGAATGGAACAGATATTACGATCCCTGTTCCTTCAGGGATTAGTGTGCTGCTTGGCGGCCAGGGCAACTACACTGAGTCCCATCCAGGCGCCAAGTCTGTTGCCATTCCATTAGGTGATCTAGATCAGCCTAAACAACGTCTCTTAGTCGCACAAGGCGGCTTGGGAGGGTCCCCACAAACCGGCTACGTGGGGACGGCCGGACAGTCGCATTCGCTGATACTGGATTTGAAAGTGAGCTATTTCTTACCAAAGAGTGCAAGCCGTACTATTATCGAGTATCGGATAAAAAGAAACCGTTTGGAATACAACGATAATATGAAAATGGGTCTGTTTTCTATATCTCATTTAACTCACAGTTATTTGTGAATAATGGTGTGGGGTAATGGATATTGACTTGAACTGACTATCCTTCAGACTTTACCTCCAAGCACAACCCTCGGTTTAATCAGTCAACCATACACTCGGAAGCACAAGACTCGATTTTCGCTCTTATGAGAGCTAATCTGTAGTGCATATCCACCGTCCCGTTCGGAATTTGAACCCTGGNGAAGGTGTGTGTTACCTCTGTGTTAATCAAATGGGTCCGGATTTCAAAAGCCGGACGGTGATGATAATGTGCACTATAGACGAGTTTTAATGAGAACGAAACTCGAGCCTCGTGCTTCGGAACAAATGGTTGACTGAATAAACTGAGGAATTTGCACGAAATGGGGATGTCTGAGGGATGTTCGTTTCAAATAAATATTCCATAGCTCTGGGTTTGTCTGTTTGCGATCGTTCGCTCTTTTTGATCATATTGTCCGCATCTTTGCCTTCAGTCCAATAGTTTGGATTATAGTATTCTCAAGTTTGTGCCCACTTCTCGTAATCGGGGTCGACTGCTTTCCGAGCCATACATCTTGTTTGCGAGTCATCTGTGTGAGTGTGCTCGATATAAATCACGATTGACTGCCCCAGAAGTACATTAACCTNCACTGTACTCACAGACCTCCGGTCGTGTAAGGGTTTACAACGAACTAATCCCGCTCTTAAACTAAATGGCCAGGACTTAATTATGGTGGATTACTGTTCCTACTTAGGTAGTGGCGTGACCAATGACGGTAGTGCAGCAAATGGAGATAACCGCCCGCATTTCAAAGACTCGAGCAGCGTGCGCAAAACTGAAACACCTTTGGCGTAGACGCGACATTTCACTGAAGTTGAAAGGTCGTGTATACTGCACTAGCGTTCGTTCAGTTCTGCTTTATGGCTATGAGACCTTAAATTTGTGAGTAGAAGATATCCGTCGACTAGAAGTTTTCGAATATCGATGTTTACGTAGTTTAGCCCATGGAGCGAACGGGTTAATAAGCTGGAGGTAAGCCGTCGTGTGTTTGGGAGTCTATCAGGTATAAACCTGCTAGCACACCGAATTCAGATTAGTAGGCTTCGCTGGCTAGGGCACGTATTGCGTATGCCCAGCTGTCGTCCGCCGCACTGCTCTTTATTCGGTGTAGCTAATTCGGGATGGAGGAAACCACGTGGAGGTCAACAGATGACGTGGAGACGAGGCATGAAGAAATGCACAGAGCCATTAGGTAGAGTAGGTGTCTCTTGCCTTCCAGGTTGTGGTCGGAAAGAATCCACAACCGGTTGGTTGGAGACATTGAAGGATATGGCAGCGAACCGACAGCGGTAGCGTTCTTGTTTTCGTTTGTTATCAGGTCAGAATGTTTTACACGGTATGTATGCATAGTTCGATTGCGTACGCTCTGTGTTGACCATAGAGGTTCACCTTCTTCACCGTCTCTTAAAATAGGTCCAATCCCTGTCCACCTTAAATTTTACCACCAACTTTGTATGCATTGCGAGTTTGGCAGCGATCAGTAAAGTTCGCTTCACTGTATTTCGCTGTACGATGATGATGATGATGGTGACTGGGCTGCATAACAGTTTGGTAAGCTGTTCACCAAACCATATCCTAATATATGGTGCATAGTCCCAGCCTTGTGGCTGTAGAGTATAGCACTACTTTACTCTTGACTCAGTGTTTGCCATTTACTCCCTTTTATTGAATACATACTGATACAATTTTAATGAAGGGGGAAGCGGCCAGTCCGAGTGCTGCCATACAACACACAGAGTGGGAAAGTCTGGTGGTGGTGGTGCGATTCGAACACGTCCGCCGGGGTAACAATTTGGTAACGTTGCCACGGGGCCACCACCACCCAAGAACGATTTTGTCGCACTACTTTCGTTTATCACGTGCACCTGTGTAAGAAAAGTAGTTTTTTCGGCACTCACTCAAACGAAATATTCGTTTGACCAATCTGGAAAGCGATTTCTCACACCGTACTTCATTTTTCGTCATGTGATACCCTGCCAATTGATTGTGGTTAACACGGTCTGTCAACTTTTTTCAGTTAATGGCTGACTACAGTCTTCTAGGATTCCCAAACGCTGGCAAATCAAGTTTATTGAAGGCGCTATCCAGCGTCCAGGTGAAAATTGCCAGCTACCCGTTCACAACTATCCAACCACAGGTCGCCCATTGTAAATATTTTGATGGCCGGATGATCAGTTTGGCTGATTTGCCAGGTGAGCCAAAAGTTTGAATTTGCAATGCGTATGTGTGTGTGCTTGACTCATCGGTTTTCCATCATACCATTCAGTTTTACGGATGTTTTTGTGGGCTTGCTTAGTATTGGTTACCAGTTTAGATGTTATAGGAATATACGTATCAATACGTGGTTAGTGCGCCCATGTTCACCGATGCAATCATTTACGAAAACGGCGGCGTTAGTTGAGTAATACAGAACAATCAAAACAAAACATCGTATTAATCTCATTTACCTCACCGTGCGGCGGCTGTCTCTTGGGAGCGGATAAGCCGGTTTCAGGGATATTCCAAATTGCAGCTACCCAGCTCGACACGGCAGCAAAATCTGTGCAGATTCTAATCTAGCTTGACTTCCAAGGGCGATTGCTGTGTGTGGAACGGAGACCAAGGTGCTGTGCATTCAGGTTTTCAGCTGTCCATTGCGTCGAAAGTGCCATTTTGCTCCAGGAGGCGGTGCAAGACAACTTTCTTCAGGTCATTTGATTTAAGCAGTAAACGTCTAAATCAATACAATCATCGCCGCTGTATGAGTGTGCGCAGCCGTGTGAGACGAAAACACCAGTTTCTGATTGCCTCATTTGGGACATGATCCCTCGATCTGGTTCCCAGAATGATTCTTAGGCATCAATGATCGGTGACTTCTAATCGTCGATGGTCTTTGGTTCTTAGTGACCAGGTTTGGTAGTCGTAGAACAAAACAGGACGAGCTGCTGCGATGGAAACTCGCATGTTTGTCTTTAGACTGATTTCGTTTCTACTTCATCGCGTATTCCTCAGTTGTTGAAGTTTCAGTTTCAGTTTGGACAACCATTAACCATGCACTTTCGTGCGCCGGTTTTGGT